TAATTTAAATTCTGTATTTCTCACTGCGTAAGAAGGTATATAGTAAATACTACTTCTAGCTAATAATTTGCCATTAATTTATACGTTTTAATAAATTCGTAATTCGATTTAATAAAATTCGTAAAATTTATGATCGAAACGTTCCCTTAGATGGAAAAGTGACACGATCCTTTCAACAACTGATTGCATAAAGGGAGACCGTTTGTGACTATAAATTTCACCTCGAATAATCATAAAGGGATATGCACAATGCGAGCGTGTATGGAACAAATCTAAGTAATCGGTTTAACGCGATGGATCTTATGACTGTGGATAGTGGCTGCTTTTGAGATGTCTCGAAATTTCAGCAAACTACTATGCGTTTCAAGACGCTCTTTATCGAAAAGGCTAGGATAAAGGGTTGTGTAAGGACATACTCGTGTAAGTACGTCGTTTGCTTACGTGATTAATAACGCCCTGAGATTATAAAAATTAATTTTGTTGCTTTAATACATTTTTTAGTCGAATATGAATCACATGTGACGTTTTGCAAGATAAGTTGTTGCTAACTTATTAAAATTGTGGACAACGTGATGTTTCTGTTGGTATAAATATTCTTAAAGTAAATAAAGGTATAAGAACTGTCCAGCGTATCTGTTGTTGTTGACCATTATTCATTGTTATATATGTGTATATGTTATATTTTTGTTATAAACGTGATATGATTCAAGAAAGCTCGTGGAATATCGTTCATCTTAACGTGTTCTCTAAGATCCCTAATTGATGCACCTTGGTATGTTACCAACGACACCTTGGTATGTTACCAACGAAAGATCCCTAATTGATGCACCTTGGTATGTTACCAACGAAACCGCGACCTCAAGATACCCACAGTCAAAGAGGAAATAGCAAAATATAGCAACAGATATAGCAAAAGAGTCAACAAACACCGAAACCCCCTAATCACTGGACTACTTGATACGACGGACCAGAGTCGCAGGCTGAAGAGACACTACCCGCTAGACCTAAACGCTAGATTCAATTAGTTATCTAAATTAAGTAATATTTACTTATTTATAATACTTACTTATAAATTATACTTAGCCATAATAAGTATTAACTTATTATAAATAATCAGCCATGTCACTGCGCCACGCCAGAAAAATTACTGAAAATTCTCAACGCGAGAATTGATTGTAATTTTAATAAATAAATAAAAAAAAAAAGAAAAAGATCTTAACGTGTTAGAGGAAGTCATTTCGTATTTCGGTAATGTTCGTAAGTGATGTTATGTATATGTGTAAGTATGTGACCTAACCTACAACTACGGGCATAGCCCGTAGTACGATGATAGGGCCAAATATAATATATAATAGCTTGTCTACGTTTTCGGCCCAAAATTCTCGAACACAAATCGTAGATTAAGGGTTAACGAACGAAAACTCGTTTGAATCAGAGTTAAGCATTTGTAAAGTATCTTATTTTACCTTTTCCAGTGGAAATTTTGGATTTTAATTTCAAGGAAACTATTATTCTACGCCAGTTTTATTACAAAAATTTAAGATATTATTATTCCATTTTGTTGACTAATTATATGCATAATGACATTAACTTATCTATATGTTTAATGAATTAATTCGCTACAGTTGATTTACAATTGGTTTTTGTAATTATTAACTATTTTGCATCCATAGAGGTTTAATAAATAAACATATGTTTTTCGACAGTAATTTTATAATAGTAATCACAACAAATGTATAAAAAATTAAATTTGATATATTTTATAAAGCAAACATTTTGGAATTACTGTGATAAAGAAAGCTTAATTTTATATTGATGAAAAATGCCAAAAGACTATTTTTAATTTGGATATTTTAATTTCTTAATATAATTATTGTTCGCATCGATCCATGAATTTTATTCAAATTTTTCAAAAATATTCTTCCTCAAGCTTTATAACGGTTGCAAACATAAAAATACTATTTATATTGCATTTATTAAACATTAAAAAATATTTCTTTACAGAAAAAACAATACTTACAATTGAAAAGGAAACGCAAGAGATTGTCAATAAAAAAACTAACAGTGCAAGCTTTATGAGTTATATTTGCTTTAAACTAATACAAATGGTAAAATATCATATACGATACATGTAATACAATATGCGCATATTTGATATCAATTTGAAACGTTTCATTGTGTATTTTTGATATTCTTAGTTTTCAAATGTTAGGTATACCAAGGGAAATAATAAACAAGTAGGATTTCAGTTACATCTGCGTGGTGAAAATTAAATTTCAAAAGCTGGCGAAAAGCTAATTTAGAAGTTCAATACAAGGACTTCGAAACGGTTTCGAAAGTTTTATTAAGTTTCGGCGAGGAATTTAACTTATACACCCTAGGGATGAACGGCATATGTAAATAAACCGTAATCGTCAAGTACGCGTACGACTTACACAGCTATCGATTGACACTCTCGGAATAACTTTTTCGTCCTCAATACATTAACACAATTAATACTACATAACACAGTAGATGTCAGAAGAACGTGTGCCTTCTGATCTTGATTCGAAGAGTAATTGAAATTACGGTTAAATAACGAAGAAAAGTGTCAAATGCGATAAATGCAATTTTAATTAATTCTTCGATTATTTATTTTAATTATTTGTTGAAAAGATTCATCTTAAAACTTAGTGAATTATTTATATTATTAGTGGACACTCGTGATTGACAGTTTCACGGACTAAAGCGCAGAGTTACACGATTCTGTAATTAAGACAAACATAAACATAAATAATAAACATGCTTCAAAAGCATTCTATGACCTACATATGAAATATTACAAAATTACTACTCATTTAAGTTTTAATAATTAATACGTTATTAGTATAATAATTGATATCATTAATGATTAATGTTACGACCGTTCGCGGAGAGACGCGGTCGCTAGGAAAACGCGTCAGCGAGAGGCGTAAATTCTCGCTACGATTATGTTAATCGACGCCGCGAAATAGTCGTTCCCCTGTTTCGGTTAAGATAACAGAGGTGGTTTAATGAATGTAACACTGTATTAACAGGTTAACATAGAATAATATATTTTACAATAATATGATGAATATGTTACAGAAATTTGACTCGACTTTGCGATATCTTTAGATAAATTCGTTTGCTCGTCAGATTTGTCGAAGTGTCACGTTAGATTCGTCAGAAGGAACTGATCGCCCTTCGATTATTCCTTTGTCTCATTTGGAAGACGATCCTCACTATGCTCGGGTCACGCCACCGCTCGCGCTTATGATCACGTATGCCTCTTCTTGTGTGAAAAACGCAACGGTCAAAAATCGACGTTTCT